GTCATCAAATTTTGCTCTTAATTCACTCTTTTACTGCCAACTTACAGGCTATTGGTTTTTGACTATCATGCAAATTTTTCAGGCATGTTTTCTAGAAGTTTCTCTAGGAAATTTAAATTCAAATTATCTATCTTTTAAATTTTTAATTGACAAAATAAAATTGTGTGTACTTGTGGAATATAGTGTGGGATTTTGTTCTATCCACACATTAGAAAAAGATTCAACCATGCTAATTAATATGTACATCACATCACCAATTTTTTGTGATAATAACATAAAAAATCTCTGTTAGCAATTTTGGAATGTAAAATACATTACCACTAACTATGGTCATGATGTAGTGCAATACAACAGTAAAACTAACGTGAATCTTTGGGTTGTCCAATCCTTCTTATTCCAGCCTCTTGCATTAAATACTTGATCATTTGTTTTTATATTTTATTAATTCCTGATAAATTATCTGAAGCTAAAAATTTTGCCTGTAGCACATATGTAGTATTCGACACTATTTCTTAATTTCTTTTGACTTTCTGATTAACCAAGTTATATAGTGATGTATTATTTGGTTTCTAAAGTTTGTACTAGAAGGGTATGTTCTCATCTTTCTTTGGTACATAGATTTTTTTGTGGATTTTTTAGACAAAAAAATACATTTTATTAGGGTATTTGGAAATGCTTACTTTCCATCTGTCATGTCATTCTCCTGAATTGTTTTAACTCAAAAGCTTTCTTTAAAATCTGTATAGGAAGCCTTCTGAATCTTCTACATGTAACATTTGTACTATGAATGAATGTCTAGATGAATTAAATGTCTAGATATAAAATTCTAATTTTAAAGTTACCTTCAGGGCCACTCACCTACCACTGTGTATATTTACTTGCACACAAAATCTTTATTTATGCCTCCCTCTTTACATTGCGTACTGGTCTTCCTCTTCTCTGCCTCTTTCTTGGTTGTGTCAGCTCAAATACAGTCCACTTTAAAATCGAGAACATTGGGGCTGGGGATTTAGCTCAGCGGCAAAAGCGCCTGCCTGGCAAGCGCAAGGTCGTGAGTTCAGTTCCTGGTACCAGAGAAAAACCAAAAAAATAAAAAAAATAAAAAAATAAATAAAATCGAGAACATTGATTTTTTATTGGCATCGGTATGTGATACATAATAGTTACATTCATCTTGGGGAACTGATAGACACATATTACATCATTTTAACTCTCCCATCCTCCCACCCCCTTCCCTCTACCCCATCTCCCTCCCATCTATAAAGTTCTATACACCTGTTTTCCATTAACTATCTTCTATTTTTAATCTTAAATTATTGTACTGTGGGTTTAGTATATAAAAGAAACCATGCAATATTTAATCTTCTGTGACTGATTTATTTCACTTAGCATTACAGTTTTAGGGATCCACCCATTTTTTTTACAAAGGACTCAAATTTATCCTCATTTATGGCTGAGTGGTACTTTGCTGTGTATGTATACCATATTTTCTTTATCTCTTCATCTGTTGCTGGACATATAGACTACTTCCAAAATTTAGCTTTTATGAATTGTGCTGCTATAAACATAGGTATGCATGTATCACTGTAATATGATTACTTTAACTCTTTTTGCAAGATACCCAGAAGAAGTATAGTTAGGCCAAATAAAATTTCTATTTCTAGCTTTTTGGGGGGGAATCTACACAGATTCTGATCCAATCTAATTTCCACAGTGGTTGTACATTCCACCAACAATGTAGAAGTTTCCTTTTTCCCTACAGCCTCACCAGCATTTGCTGTTTCTTGAGTTTTGATGATAAGCCATTTTTACTGAAGTAAGATGAAATCTTAGTGTTGTTTTGACTTTCATATCTCTAATGGGCAAAGGTGCTGAACATTTTTGTGTATTTATTAGTCATTTTTATTTAAGTGTTATCTATTCATTTCAATTGCCCTTTTTTTTACTGAGTCTTTTATTTGGGAGGGGAGTCTAATTGTTTTAGTTCTTCATGTAGTCTAGATATTAGTCTTCTGATCCGAGGAGTAGCTGGCAAAAACATTTCCCATTCTGTAGGTTGTCCTTTCATTCTCTTGATATAATTCCACTTGTTGCTTCTTAATATTATTGTGCAGCTGGGGTTTTGTTCAGAAATTTTTTCCCGGGGGCTGGGGATTTAGCTCAGTGGCACAGAGCCTGCCTGGCACATGCAAGGTCATGAGTTCGATTCCCAGTACCGGAAAAAAAAAAAAAGAAAGAAATTTTTTCCCTATACCCATGTTGTCAAGAGTTTTACCTAATTTATCTTTCAACAAAGTCAGTGTTTCTGTTTTTATATCTAGGTCTTTGATTCATTTTGATCTGATTTTAGTACAGGGTGAGAGATAAAGGTCCAGATGCATGACCCAGAGGATTTCATAATATCTAGTAAAGTGATAGCAAACCAGTCTCTGCATCCACCTGAACAAGTCAGAAACTATTGGAAGAAGAGATTGTTCGGTAAAAGCTAAATGGTTTTGCTGAACCACCTGAGGATGTCACCTATTGCCAGCTTATGGGATCACCTGTGCCAAGTTTAGCTCTCTAAATTTCCTAATTATGTGTTAGATAGAACAAAAGTCTCCCAAAGATATCTACACCCTGATCCACAGAGTCCATGAATATTTTATGCTACTTGACATAGCACTATGCTTCCTTTTGCCTCCTTCAGCTTGGCATCTACACTCCTTCCAGAGAATATTTCATACTCCTTTTGGTCCTTTCAAACACACTAACCCCTTTGCCCTCTGCCTGGCTTTCTGTCAACTTCATCTGTTATATTTTAGCTGAACATGATTAGATATAGATAACTAATAAGAAATATTGTTATTTACATGGGCTGAGGATGTGGCTCAATGGTAGAGCTCTTACCTTGCATACACAAGGCCCTGGGTTCAATCCCCAGCACCACATTCATTAAAAAAAACAAAAACCCAATAATAATAATAAATAAATTTTTACAAAAATAATGATCATTACCAAAAAAATTTTTTAAAAGAAATACTGTTATTTACATAATAACATTTGCATAGAACATTGTGGACTCAACACTTTTCAAATATGTTATCTTACTTCAATTTAACAACAACTTCTAGAGGTATCGTTTTTCAGGGATAGGGAAAAAATAAAAACATAGAAATCTTCTCCCAAGAATAAACAGCTAATAAATATGCAAACCAAAAGAAGAAACACAGACCCTCAAGAAGAAATCCTGAGTTTATCCCTTTGGCTCTCTTGATCCTAGGAAATTAATCTCCCAGTCACTTAAGTAAAAACCTATAGACTTTAAAGGTTAACAAATGTGATAAATGTGCCCCAACCTATCAGTATTTATTGCACAACTATTATGTGTCAAGTACTCTGAGTCAAGTACTACACAAGGCACTAGAAAGCAGTGGTAACCAACACAGATGGGAACCCTCCCCTTTCAAATTTTTCATCATGCTCTACTCCAGATGTTGTCCATGCCGAGAGGCTCCTTTCCTAGTAGAAGGATCCAATTCAAATACAAAGCATCTCAAAGAGAAAGGAGATGCTTCAGGAAACAAAGCACAGTGCATGTATGTACTAAAGTTCTAAAAAAGAACTAGCTTGTGTTTATGAACAATGAGTTTAATTCAAGAACAATGAATTTCATTGGAGGTCCATGAAGATTAAAAAAAAAAAAATACACCGTTAATGCTTAGGTTTGCTTTTAACTTATTGTCAGAAGTGCCAGAAAGATAATGAGGACACAGAAAATATAAGATGAGAACTTTCTCTAATTCAGAACCTGCTTTCTTAACTCTAATTTCCTCTACCACCACTCATTGGCTCTCTTTTACGCCCTCTGTTTCTGAAGCCAATCCTGTCCCTAGGTGGCACACGCAAAGAATGTGCATTCTGTCACTCAGTGGTCTCACTTTCAACCAGTTGGTTGCTGATTGCTAACATTATGCCCTCGTGGTCTTCTGGTCTTGTCTCAACTGAGTCCTCACCTTGACAGACAGATGACTAGTGTGTCACGATTTCTGCCCCCTTGGAGCCTTGACCTATTTTTCCAGGTTCTGGGGATGAGAAACCAGTTCCTGAATCTCAGCACCTTCCTATTCATACCTCTCAGTGTATTTTGCCATAATACAGTATCATCTCACATTTTTGTTTCCCATGATACACTTTTCTTGCCTAAAAGAGCACCCACTTCTTAGTTTCTTTACCTCTTCCTTAATGCCACCCACTTGTATGAAACGCCAAGACCAATGTTAGGTAAATAGGCTTCCTCTGCCAGAAATAATTCTTGGATTTCACACCTACCCTGAACAGCTCCATGCCCTAATGCACATGTCAAATTTCCAGGTTGCAGTGACTCCTACATTAGTATTTCTGCCCACAATTTTTTAAGCTGCCAAATAAATTACAAAAGTATATTTTCTCAAAATAGAGTTTGATCCAGGAATGCAATTCTTATCATATTTATATGATTTCTATGGGAGAAATTTAGGGTACCCCACCTTTCCTTACAGAGGAAGAAAAGACAAAGAAATCCTGGCCAAAAGCATCAAGTGGAGACTGGTGTTGTACAAAGGAGGAGTACCTGAAGCCAAAGGAAGCCAAACAATGTGTCAGAAATACACCACCTTTGAAATTGAACAAAATGATTATTTTCTGAACACCTTTCCTATAGTATTTACCATTTGTCCTCAAAATGGTCTAAGAATGCAGATATTGCAAGTTTTACCTTTTGGAGAAGGAAAAAGAGCTGAAGCTCTTGTTCAAATTCACAAAAGTCAGTGTAAAATTGAAAGTGAAATCAAAGTACACCAAGACCAATCCTAAGGAGTTATATCATAGACTATACGGCAGTCTACATGAATGGCTCCTCCCATGCAGGGTGCGAACTGGAATACCTCGTGAGGTATCCATTCTCTTTATCAGATTGAAGACTCCAAGCCAGGACACACACCTAACTTACCTTCATATTTTTTTCTTACTTATGGGCAGCAATGCCCATGGAAAACCAGAGCCACATGACTGAATTCCTCCTCCTAGGACTGACCACTGATCCCAAACAGCAGGTGTGGCTTTTTGCCAGCTTCCTTCCCATGGACCTTGTCAACATTGTTGGCAACTCAGTCATCATTGCAGCCATCTGGCGGGATGCCCACCTACACACCCCCATGTACTTCTTCCTCTCCAACCTGTCCCTGGTGGACATCTGCTTCTCCACTGTCATCGTGCCCCAGATGTTACTGAACATGCTGACACAGAGAAAGACTGTCCTCTTCACCCTGTGCCTCACCCAGATGTATTTCTTTGTGGCCTTTGGCATCACAGACAGTTTCCTCCTGGCTGCCATGGCCTTTGACCGCTACATAGCCATCTGTTACCCGCTGCATTATACCATGACCATGAGCCTCAGGCGTTGTCTCCTGCTGGTGATTGCATGCTGGGTGGTTTCCCACCTCCACTCGCTCGTCCACACAGTTCTCATGGGCCACCTCTCCTTCTGTGGACCCAACGTCATCCACCACTTCTTTTGTGATGTCCAGCCACTGCTGACACTCTCCTGCTCTGACACCTCTGTCAATGAGCTTTTGGCCTTCACAGAGGGCTCCTTTGTGATCGTGAGCCCTTTTATCTTCATTATTATCTCTTATGTCTACATCACCCGTGCCGTTCTGAGGCTGCCTTCAGGGGGAGGCAGGTACAAGATCTTCTCCACCTGTGGATCTCACCTAACAGTCGTGGCACTCTTCTATGGGACCATAATATCTGTGTACATCCGCCCCTCGTCTACCTACTCAGTGACAAAGAACCGTGTGGTCACTGTCATTTATACAGTAGTTACTCCCATGCTGAATCCTTTCATTTATAGCCTTAGGAACAAGGACATGAAACAGGCCTTGAGCAAACTGACTAGGAGGACAGAGTAGAACATGTATATTTTATCACCTCTAGGAGTTAATCATTACTTCAACAATGAACCGCCATGTTTCTGCCATGGCCGCAGTTGTACAGGCAGCTCCTAGACAATGTTAAGCACAGCAGAGGTACCAAGGTAGGCCCATTCAAGAGAAATATGGGGCTCTCCTGATGGACAATACTGATTCTAGAATCTTCCATTGGACAAATATTTCTTGATTTTTTGTTGCAGTTCAAGACTCTTCCTAGGGCAGGGGATATAGCTCAGCAGCATAAGCACCTGCCTGGCAAGTGCAAGTTCGTAAGCTCAATTCCTGGTACAAAAAAAAAAACAGAAAACCCAAGACTCTTCCTACTCCAGCCCTCCTTCCTTCCCTCTTCCCTTCTATAGACCTCAAACTGAGTCAAAGATTTCTCCTGCTTCCTCCCAGTAAATTTTTTACACAATGTGGTGGTTAATTTTTCTGTCAATTTGACTGAATTAAGAGATGTTCAGATAGCTGGTAAAGCATTGTTTCTGGGTATATTTCATAGGCTGTTTCTAGAAAATACTATCATTTGAATCTGTAGACTGAGTAAAGATTGCCCTCACTGGTATGGGTAGGTGTCATACAGTCTACTAGGGCCCAAATAGAATAAAAAGCAGAGGAAATGAGAATTCAGTCTCTCTTTCTTGAACTAAGACATCCATCTTCTGATCTTGAACATCATCATTCTTGATTCTCAGTCCTTCAGCATTGAACAGACACTTATACCACTACCTCCCTGGGTCCCCAGGCCTGTGGGTTGGTACTACACCACCTGTATCCCTCTGGAGAACTCTCACTAATACATACCTCGAATCACATCTAGGTGCTGCTTTATGGAAGACATAAACTGATGCACTAATCAACTCCCAGTGAAAAATGCTACGCTTAGTACACAGTATAGAGAAACTTGAGCAGGCATGCCAGGAGACTGTACAAGATTTTTATGGAATAAATTCAAAATGAATATATATCCTGGTTTCACTTATTGTCATTTTATATTTCACTTTAGAAGCAATATAACAGTCAGATATGGTGGTGCACCCCTGTAATGCCAGCACTCAGGAGGCTGAGGCATCATGAGTTCAAGGCCAACCTAGGCTACACAGGTGAGTTCAAGGCCAGCCTGAAATAGTGAGATCTATCTCAAAAAATAAATAAATAAATAAATGCAATATAGCTTGATATATGATTAATAGACAACAAAAGCTCAGTTTCTGAGACATTTCTGCTGAAATAATAAATTTATGTTATATGTACAATATTCTTTTCTAAAACTGTAGACATTCTGTATTCTAAAATGAAAAACCCTAGTGTAGTACAAAGGGTAGCAAAAACATTTACTACACAGCACAGAAAAAGAAAGACTTGCAGCCACAGGTTTCAACATGATATGAAAAACATCATATTGACTGAAAGAAGATGAATCATTTCATTCAAGAAAAGGACAAACATGGGCAGATAAATGATGCACATACATATATCATATACATGATAGAAGGCAGCACAAGAAAATGATTCCTGGGGCTGGGGATTTAGCTCAGCAGCACAGTGCCTGCCTGGCAAGCACAAGGTCATGAGTTCGATTCCCGGTACCAGAAAAAAAAAAGAAAGAAAGAAAATGGTTCCTGTGTCTTTTAATACTTTTTGTATAGTATGCATTTCTCTTTTAAAATTTTCTAATAATATTGCATGGACAAGCTCTTATAACTTCTCTAGATTTTATATAAGAGTCATCTCTCTACCTTCTGGAGCCATAAAAATAAATTTGCTTGTTTTTTCTACCCACTAGAACTGTGGACTTTTGAAAGCAATGCATGTGCTGCCCACTCTATACCAAATCTGTACTATATAGTATTATTATTTATTTTCTGGGAGCTGAAAGGTTTCCTTAACAAAGACTGGAATCTGAACAGAATGCGATGTAGCAGCTTAAAGACTGGAATCTGAACAGAATGCTTTGTAGCAGCTTAAAGTGGGGGAAGAGGGAGCCCTCCCATTCCTTTGCCCAGAGGAAGGATACCGGGAAGAATGGTCTCAGGATGCCCCCGGATTACACTGAAACAAAAATGTTCCTGACACTGCTGGAACTTATGGCTGTTGGGCCCAGAGGGGACAGCTAGCAGGGTGGACATTTGCCTCATCTTGTCTCTAACTAGGAAGTCTGGGACTGGACCCCAGGAGACTCTGCTCATGAAAAGCCCATAGAGCTTCCAGGTCCCTATTCCTGAGAACAGATTGTTCCAGGCCCAGGTAGTGAGACGCTGTTATGTTGGGAAAGGAAGAACACTGTCTCCCATCAGTTCTCTTGAGGAGAAGCGGAGAAGGCAGACTAAATAGGAGAGGCAGACCCAGCACTCAGTGATGGTGCTCTGAGGATGAGAAAACTTTCCAGGTAAGACAAAGGAGATAAAGATGAAAGATATCTCTCTCTCTGTCTCTCTCTCTGTCTCTCTGTCTCTCTGTCTCTCTCTCTCTCTCTCTCTCTCTCTCTCTCTCTCTCTCTCTCTCTCTCTCTCTTCATCTCTCTCTCTCTCTTTCTCTCTCTCTGTCTCTCTCCCTATTCTTCTCTATCTCTGTCTCTCTCCCTATTCTTCTCTATCTCTCCTATCCTTTCCTCCTTTTCTACCTCTTCCTCACTTTCAACAAAATACAGCCTGACTCTCCTACTGTAACTGTGTAGTAACATCTCCCAGGACCCCTGTTTCTTGCGTGCACTCTTCACTCTCAGCCCACTCAGTCACGATAGCATTCAGAGTCATTCTATACCATTGCCTAAGCAGAGTAGAGATTGCTATTATATGAAGAATATCAGAGCCCCAGCTTTGACCCTCTATGTAAACCGATACCTTTTCTATCCCTCACACACACACACGCACATGTGCACATGCAGGGACACATGCATACATGAGCACACACACATTTTCTAATAAAGATATTAAATTCAAATATCACAAGCCTATGGAGTTGATAGCTTTCCTATTTTAAAAAGAAAAAGAAGGGAGATTAAAACTTAGGAAGTTTCTTCCCTTCATCTCCAGTTCACCTTAAGCTAAGAGGTCTACAGGACAACTTACTTGATAACCAACATGCGAAATTCACTCCAAAGGGATTTCTCATTATCGTCCGGGCTTCTCACCTCTATGTATGTTTATATGCCTGCCCTCCAAACACACCAGTTTACTTCTGCAACCTTTGAGAGTATCACAGAAAACAGATGAAAGGCCCTGAATGATGTAAATATTTGGAGTCTATATCCAAGCCATATTTTTCACCCGTTGTTCTACTTTAAGTGGAAATGAGAAATCAAACCACTATCTTTGACTTCCTGCTCCTGGGCTTCTCTGAACACCCAGAGCAGCAGCCTCTCCTGTTCGGGCTCTTCCTGAGCATGCACCTGGTCACCCTCTTGGGAAACCTGCTCATCATTCTGGCCATTGGCTCTGACCAGCACCTCCACACCCCCATGTACTTCTTCCTGGCCAACTTGTCCTTCATTGATACCTGCGTCACCTGCACCATCACCCCCAAGGTGCTGGTGAACATCCACACACAGCACCACAGCATCTCCCACACTGGGTGCCTGGTGCAGATGTACTTCTTCATGTCACTGACCTTGCTGGATGACTTCCTGCTGGCCGTGATGGCATATGACCGCTATGTGGCCATCTGTCTTCCTCTATACTATACCATGATCATGCATCCCCAGTGCTGTTTTCTTCTGGTAGCCGTAGCCTGGTTCTGCTCCAGCCTGCTGGCCTTTTCACTCACTCTGATGATGGCTCAATTCTCCTTCTGTGCCTCCCACACCATCCCACACTTTTTCTGTGATGTGCCCCCACTCCTCAAGCTTGCCTGTTCAGACACTCACAGCTTTCAGGTCACAATGTTAACTGAGGCAGTTCTCTCGGGTATGATTCCACTCACCTGTATCCTGGTCTCTTATGCCCACATCACGCACACTATCCTCAGGATCCCCTCTGTCGGGGGAAAGCACAAACTCTTCTCCACTTGTGGCTCTCACTTGACAGTGGTCACTCTTTTCTATGGGACCCTTTTCCTCGTGTATTTCCAGCCATCATCATCCTACTCCACAGATAACGGAATGATTGCATCTGTGATATACACAATGCTCATCCCTATGATGAATCCTTTTATCTACAGCCTAAGGAACAGAGACATGAAGGAGGCTTTGGGGAGGCTCTTTGGCTTGGAAAAATGCTATATTCAATAAAGGGTACTTCCCCAGAGCAGAGGAAGCAGAGTAGCATTTCCAACCATCTGTGACTAAGAGGTCTCACCACACAAGAAATCCTGACAAAATCTGGCAAGGATCAAGTGCTCTGAGCTACAGGAAACCTTTCCAATCCCAAATTTGAAAATATCTTACTCATATGGAGTAACATCCACATGAGGAAAGCTGAACCAAGAATACATACTATTTTCTGGAACTAAAAGAGCAAGAATAATTCTACAAGGAGAAACTAGGCACAGCTAGATAAGGGGACTGGTACAAATTACCTATTGAGATTAGGTCTAAAGTCCTTAACAGGGAGGGATTATTAGTTGTGGTGGCAAGGCCTTGATTCTTTAGCTCTTAAACTCTGGTTTACTTTATTGACTGTACTATAATGCATACTCATTATATAAATTTATAAAACACAAGTAGGAAAAAGAAATCTTTAACTTTTTCAAAAAATGCTACAAGTGAAATTTTATAGTTTTTCACTTAGTCTTAAAACATGAGTTGTCTTCATATTTTTATTAATTCTCTACAAAACTTGGTTCACCAAGATTACATCAGAAGTCAGAGTTACATCAGAGTCATGATTCATATACTCTTTCACTATGGTTGATGATTAGGGGGTTTCTAAGCTTTCGGAATTACAGACAATGATGCAGTGAAAGTTTCTGAAATCTTTTTTGTATTTATGGTCTGTTACCATAAGTGTCTGGAGAAGTTAAAACATCTAAGTAAAATATTTTAAGGCACTTTATCCATTTTGAAAGTCTATCTTAAGATACCATTAAAATATTTTTCCAATTAGGTTCCCTTTTTATCTGTAACCTCTAGGATTTTGATGTTAACATTTTCTCCTTAATGATTATTAATATGGTAGTTAATGGTAATGAAGTCCTCTAACCCCAAAAATCTAGTAGGTTAAAGTAGAAGGGTCAAAAGCTCAAGCCTGGCCTGGACATTTTAGTGATTTAGCCATATACTGTTTCAAAATTTAAAAAAAAAAAACTTATAAGATTTGAATGTAGCTCTTTGTGAAAGACTTGGATTCAAGTCCCAGCACCACTGAAATAAAGAAGGGAATAAAGGAAAGAAAGACAGAAGAGAGAGAGAGAAAGAATGAAAGAAAGAAAGAAAGAAAGAAAGAAAGAAAGAAAGAAAGAAAGAAAGAAAGAAAGAAAGAAGAAAGAAAGAAAGAAAGAATGAAAGAAGAAAGAAGGAAGAAAGAAAAAAAGAAAGAAAGAAAGAAAGGAAGGAAGAAAGAAAGAAAGAAAGAAAGAAAGAAAGAAAGAAAGAAAGAAAGACCAAACTGCTATTTCCATGCTTTTGTTTTCATTTCTTTGATTATTGGTGAGAGAATTATTTTCCTGTATCTGTTAATCAAACTTTTGTAGTTCTCCTATTGTTTGTTCATATCATCTTATTATTTGGGGGGATGTTTTTTATTGAATTATATAGGTCTTTTTCACATTAAACATTTCACATTAAACATTTTCACATTAAACTTTGTCTTCCCTGTCTTGCTTAGTGACTCAATTTATTTCTTTATAATTTTCATATGGAAGGCAGTTTTTATTTTTAATATTATCAACTCAAGAGGTCTCTCTCGGTTTTCCAGAGCTATGACTACAAAATACTCTACATGGAACTTATGCAAATAGTCAACAGTTTTCATTTCCTAGTAGAATATATTATTTTTAATATAACTATGTATTATTTTAGAAAGAAATCATGTCATTGTAGTGGTTCTCTCTCAACACATCCCTTGTACTTTCTGCAAATCATTCCCCTGCATCTTGTGTTATGTTATTCATAATTATAAATATTGACTCCCTCTGAACAGGGACATAAAGAGGAATATGTGGTACTGGTGATGCTCTGTTCCACAGCCTGGGTGGTGGGGATGGGAGTGCATTCCTTCTGAAAAAGTCATTACACAATGCATGAATGGTACTGTGCATTTTCTGTATACTTCACCAAGTATTTATACATGTAAAAATATAGAAATATTGAAAATAAAAGTTGAAAATTCATAAGACATAAAAATATGGGCCTGGCTCTATAATTATCAAACATATACTTGAAGATGTTATTACAAAGTTTCATGTAATAAGAATATAACTTTTCATACACTAGGAAAATACAATAATTCTACTTTTTTTCAGTGATGAAAAAACCACAAATACTCATAAAGAAAAATTAATAGAACAAGGAGAAATAGACAAATCCAATTTTAGTGGGATATTTTAACACATTTATGGTAATTGATTCACAGGTTATTTTAAAGTGAGTATTGAAATAGGATATTTCATAACATAATTATCAGTGTTCACTTAATGGACATGTACAGAACATTACACTTAGCACTTGAAGAGAGCATAATCTTTAGAAAATTTGCAAAACCTGCTCACTGACTGAGCTATAAAGCAAACCTCAATGAATGTCAAATCCTACAGACCACATGCAGTTCTGTGAAAAATCATAACAAAAATATAACTAAAAATGCCCACATGTTTGAGAAATGGGAAACTAGGTAGGAATAACATAGGAGTAAAATTTAAAACTCATAATGGCTATTAGATACATATTTTCACTAGAATGAAGGCCAATAAAGGAAATTTATAACCTTACATGCAAATGTTAGCAAAGAAATAAAGATTGCAAAATAGTAAGCTAAGCATCTATCTTGGAGTGTTATAAAAAGAACAACAAAATCAAGGGGAGGTGCATGCCTGTAATCCCAGCACTTGGGAGGCTGAGGCAGGAGGATTATTGCAAGTTCGAGGCCAG